TTTTCTACTCTTTATTCCTTATTTTCTCTCTCTTTTTAAAAGAGACAGGGTCTCACTCTGTCACCCAGGCTGGAGTGCATGGCACCATCAGAGCTCACTGCAGCCTTGAACTCCTGAGCTCAAGCAATCCTATTTCAGCCTCCCAAGTAGCTGGGACTACAGGCGTGCACCACCACCACGCCTGGCTAGTTTTAAATTTTTTTGTAGAACAAGGTCTCGCTATGTTGCCCAGGCTGGTGTTGAACTCCTGGGCTTATCCGCAGGCCTTGGCCTCCCAAAGTGCTGGAATTACAGGCATGAGCTACCGAGGTCGGCCTATTCCTTACTCTAGATTAGGGGTGTCCAATCTTTTGGCTTCCCTGAGCCACACTGGAAGAAGAATTGTCTTGGGCCACACATAAAATACACCAACACAAAAGGCCACTGATGAGCTTTAAAAAAAACTTCGCAGAAAGTCTCAATGTTTTAAGAAAGTTTACCAATTCCTGTTGGGCCACATTCAAAGCCACCCCGGGCCCAGGCAGCGAATTAGACAAGCTTGCTCTAGATCAGACATGATATTAGTGGGAATTCTGACTCCTTCCAACTCCCCTGCAACAACGTTTGTACCAGGAGCATTTACACAGTTAGCGAGTGTCCAGCAAGATGTGCCAGCGGATGTGGATGTCCCCAGGCCCTGCCCTTCCCGCACCCTCGGCGCGCTCTTACCAGCTCCCCTGCGCAGCGACCTTTTCTCCGCCGTCCTGGGCTCCTTCCTGGGGTCGCGTTCTCCCGGGCCGGTGTCGGGGGGCGCGGCCTGGTGCGGCAGCGTGAAGCTCTGCAGAAGCGGCTTCCGGGGCAGGGGCGGCTTGGAGCTGAGCGGCTCGGGGGGCCGGGCCTTCCCCTTTCCTTGGTCGCTGGGGGCCCTGGCGCCTCGAAGGGCGGGGGCCGTCCCGAGGGGACACTTCTCCTCCTTCGGGAGCACCGTCAGCGACCTTTCTAACCGGACTTCCGCGCTGTACCTCTTCACACCCTTCGTCTCCTGGGAGGCGCCATCCCTGTATTTGAGCGAGACGGAGGTGGACCGGAGCTTGACGGGGAAGGGGTTTCTGTCCTCACTCGGGGCCGGCTCCTGGGCGGCTGGGCAGGGCTCTCTCGTGCCGGGCGTGGCGGCCGCCTCCTGGGGGCTCCTGCGCGGCCCGGCCGGACTGGCCGCCCTGTCCCCCGAGTCCTGAGGGCCGCACTCCGCCGGCTTCCGAGGGCCAGGTTTCGCGTGCTGGGGCTCGGGGAGACCCTGGAGGTCGTCAAGGGCCGCCTCGCTCCTCCAGGCCGGGCTGCTCCTCGCGAGGGGAAGGCGGCAGCTGGCGCGTTCCAGCGGGCGGGAGGCGCCCGGGCGAGGCCGCGCTCGGCACGAGGACACCGAGAACTTCTTCGCGCCTCGCAGCTCGGCGCCGCCCCTCTCCGCCTTCCGCTCTGGAGCCGCCCTTTCGGTGCCCGCCGGTGGCGCCTCGGCCCGCTCGGCCTTGGGGCGCTCCGGGGCGGCGGCCTCTGCGTCGGGGGAACCGGGGCCGTGCTCCCCCGGGGGAGACTCCGCGGCTGCAAGCGTCGGGGACGCGGCGGGGCCCTCGCTGGCGGCCGCGGGCCGGTGCTTCAGGCAGCTCTTGGGCGCCGGCGGGCTCGGGGCGGGCGCCGCGGAGGGCTCGGTCCCAATTCTCTCGGGCTCGGTCCCAATTCTCTCGGGCTCTGCCCCCGCTCCTCTCTCGGGCTCGGTCTCTGCCCCTCTCTCGGGCTCGGTCTCTCCTCCTCTCTCGGGCTCGGTCTCTCTCCTCTCTCGGGCTCGGTCTCTCCTCCTCTCTCGGGTTCGGACCCCGCTCCTCTCTCGGGCTCGGTCTCTCCTCCTCTCTCGGGCTCGGTCTCTGCCCCTCTCTCGGGCTCGGTCTCTCCTCCTCTCTCGGGTTCGGACCCCGCTCCTCTCTCGGGCTCGGTCTCTGCTCCTCTCTCGGGCTTGGGCGCCGGCCCTGGGGGCCCCTTCTCCTCGTCCGGGAGCACGGGCGGCGTCGGCTCCGCTTCCTTCGCGACACTGCGGTCTGGCCCGTCGGGAGCAAAGGACGCCTCCGAGGTGGCGATGGGGTCAGTCTCGGGGGGCGTCGTGTCCCCCTCAGGGAGGGCGGTGGGAAGCGGGCTCGCGACGTCTTCGGGAGCACAGACCACCTCCTCCGCCGTGTCCGCGGCCGGGGCACACGGGCCTGCAGGGGGCGCCTCCCCCTCCTGCTTTCCGCCGTCGGGACCTGGATGCGGGGGGCCCTCCGGCGGGGACGGGGGCTCCACGCGGAGGATGGGGGCCGACTCGGGCTCGGCGAGCTCCAGGGTGGCCGGACGGCTTGAGGGGTCGTCGCCGGGGACGCCCTCCTCCTCCAAGCTGGCCCTGAGCGCCGAGCAGTGCTGCAGGCGGGCGCGTCTGGCACGGACCCCTCCGAGTGGCGGCAAGGGCGCCGGTGGCCCAGGCTCAGGGCCTCTGTCTGGTGCCACGTCCTGCTGCCCAGAGCTGGGGCTCTCTTCTGGGCTGACTTCCAGCAGTGGCTTCTCCTCGTTTTCCTCCTCCTCTGGGGTGCACGTCAGGTCGCTCAGGGATTCAGACTGAGCGCGCTGAAAGAAAGATAAAAAGCATCGTCACTATAGCAAATTCCAGGAAGCCTGTCAGCTCCCCACTTTCTTCAAGGCTTGTAATGGCTTAGTGATAGCAGTGATAGCAGCACTCTAAAGTTGGCACTTAAGTAGGCAAGTACCCACGGGTGTCTTTTCTCAGTTTGTATCCTCCTGGTCTACTTGGGCTCACAGGTGTATCGGGACAATGGCAGATATGCCTCCCAAGTAAAAGTCTACAGCTCCTCTGACAGAGCCTCAAAACCAGTGGACTAGAGAGTAACGCCAAGGGAAGGCGACCAACAGCAGCCAGCGTCTGCCATGCTCTGTGCTCCACACTTGTTATTTCATTTAATCCTCCATTCATCCCAGTGAGGAAGGGATGATGAGTCACTTTTTGCACTTGAGAGCCAGGAGCTCAGAGAGGCCAATACCTTGTTCAAGCCTGGCCGAGCAGGTGGCGGAGCTGAACAGCTGGGGCTCTATGGCCCTGTGTTCATCCCAGCCAGTCTCCCATGTCAACACTTTAGGAGTGCACCCTCATAGTAAAGTCAGACTGGTTTTCCTAAAAGATGGCTCGTATCATGCCAATAGCTAACCACAGCTATATAGGATAAAACCAAAATTTTCAGCTAAATTTACAGTCCTAGATTCCCTGGTCTTAAGTTGTTTCTTCCACTCCCTACTCAGGTCAAACCAAGCCCTCAACACTGCGCCAGACACTTGGTCTGAGTGACTGTCACCTCCCCACTCTCCCCCACCCCCCTGCCCCCAACCTCCAAGATATTCTACCAGGACCCCCAAGGACTGCTTCAAACTCTCCCACTCTTTGCAGTTTAAGATTCCCCCCTTCTCTAACCTCCTGAAGCCCTGCTGGCTTGGCAAACGTATGCTGCCTTGTGATATTCTTCTGAAAGAGCTCTAGAATTCAGATTCCAGTCCAACTTCCTCCTTTTGTCACAGAGTCAGTTCCTGCTCTCTCGGGAAGGAAAGGAGCTCCAGGTAACCGAGAACCATTCAAAAGTAACATGTGGAAATGACCAAAAGGTTGATGGTGTAGAGACTGATCTTTTTAGAAAGTTCGTGATATTAGACACCAAGAGTCACCCAGGCTATTGCTCTCTCCTTCCCTTTGTCTAAAGCAGGAAATGTGACACTCAGGGTATGTTTGCAATAGGTTTTTCTTCTTGCTGTTTGTTATTATTTTAACATTTTTCATGGCATCTGCCTGCTAATAGAATACAGGATGCCTGGGATGTCTGTGACAATACCTAAGCAAACTCGCACCAAAATACACGATCCTATTCTTCTGGATTTAAAAAGAGGAAGAGGCACAAAGAAAGCTACAGAAGAACTTTCAAAAGTTGCAGGTCCTTTACTTTGCCATGTTGATGACCTTCTGCTACTACAGGAAACTGCTGATGTTGAAACCTCTTTAGGATGGAGGTCACCTTTTAAAACTATCAGTCACGGAGCCCACACAAGGCAGCAGAGGGGGTGGCATGCCTGTTCTTTCCCGTCCTGGGAGCATTTAGGGAGCATCTGAAAGCACCTTCGTCCCTGAGAGGGGCCAGGCCACAAGGAAGATCCTTATGGTTGGGAAGAGGGACCTCATGACCAAAGGGCAAAGGGTGCTATGGACACTGAAGGACAGAGGCCCCCAGCATCACAGGTTCCACAACAGTGGATGGAGGAAGATATGGACACCTCTGAGAACTTCAGATACCTATGCCTGCTCCTTACCAAGCAGGGAAGGGGAAAAGAGGGAAGACCATGGATGTGACAGAGTTGAAATCAAGGAAAGGCTGTGTTTACCTGTTTGCGCAGACTGGCTACATCAGGTTTTCTGTTATTCTACAAAGTGGGATTCAAGAACTAAGTCAAGTTCAAATGTAAAGAAAGAAGGATACAGCCCTGCCCAGATGGGAGCAAGAAGGGAGGCTGCGTTTCCACCTGGAATAGACACCAGGCTTCGCTCTGTCACCAAGTCCTGGCCAGGTTGTGGCTGGCTATAAATGCCCTGGCCAGAGCAAAAGACATCCCCATGGGAGTCATAAATCACAGACTTGAGGACCAGAAGGGAGCAGCCCCTGGCCCTGTGGTCTCATTCAGCACGAGGACAGGCAGGTCTTCAGTGACTGGACCTTGTCACGCCGACACAGCACACCGCCTCTAACTGTACATGCACTGGACACACACACCTATGGCACAAGTATCCTGGTTCCTAGCTGGCACATCAGCCTGAAGGTAACTCACCTTGCTTCTTTCTCCAGCATTAGTCCCCTCAAAAGTCCACTCTGCTGGCATGAGTTTAAAGAGCACCTTCCATATGCCCAAAGGAAAACTCGCTCTCTTCAGGGAGTTGCTGAACTCCTGAGTGGCCCTAGTCCAACTGTCTCCAGCTGAGGCACCCAGCTTGCCCTGGGTACTTCACCAACACACCCCAATCATGTCGCCAGGGAAGGACACAGGATGTTAGCCTATGAGCATCTCTTTATCAGCACTGTCATTCTCTGGCCAGGCTGGCCCCCACTCCAGGGGGGAGGCGTTACAGTGCCCGTCAGGTAGGGGAGAGGGAACAACCCTGTGTGAACCTCGAACCTGCCAGTAAATGAAGCCAAAGTGTTCCATGAACCAGTTTCTCAGCTTCTAGGACTAGGAGGTAACGACACCCCAAGGCAGCACACCCAGAGAGGGGTCTGTCTTTTCTCCCCATGCTACTGAGCAGGCCCTCGTCCAAGGCAGGTGTCCACGCTAGTGTTTCGGCTTCTTTCATTCACTCATTTGTTAATTCACTCATTCATTTGTTCCGTCGTTCATCCAACAACTGTTGTCATTCAACAACTCTGTGACCCGAAATGTTCTAAGGGCTAAAAGTGCAGCCGGGACAGGGTCTCAAAGAAGACTGGCAATAAGAGCACATCCATTTACAAAGGTCGCTCTGGCATGAGGCGAGTGCTCTGAAGGAAGTGAACGGGCAGGTGAGTTTCTCTGGGGGACTCTCAGGCCCCAAGGCTGGGACACAGCAGCACCAAGGCCTGAGGCTAGAGGCAGCTGTGAGCTCAAGAGGCAGAAAGGTGGCCAGAGTGCTGAGTGAGAAAGGTAAGAAGCCTGAGGGGTAGGCAGGACCTGATGTACCAGGCCTGGAGTGTGGACTTTACTCTGAGTGCAGGGGGAAGGCAACCAGCATTCAGTAGTGAGTGTGTGAGGAATGACGGACAGACGGATGGATGGATGAATGAATGGAGCGATTCTGCAAGGGAGAGACAGATCTGGTTTATGTTTAAAATGATGAGCAACTTCATCTTCTGCAGCATGGCTCCATGAACTGTGGGAGTGCTCGGAGGGGCACGAGGCCCTGTGGGAGGGAGTGAGGTAGGTTGTGCGGGTTTGCGGGGGGTGTGTTAAGCCTGCCTGGCCTGCCTCTGTGTGGAGAAGGAAACCCAATTACCGATGAAAGCCGCCTCATCTTACTCGACCGCTGGTTGCGGGGCTTGACCTGGAGCTTGTGCTTAGCTGCAGAGTTGTCCAAGCAGGAGGAGGATTCTGGAGGGTAACTGAAGTCGGCCACTGGTGCCAGGCTGCTGTCCGAGGTCCGGGCAGAGACAGTGCTGTCGCTTACGTGGTCTGGAGACACGACAGAGACCTTCATGGGACGAGAACAGACACACAGAGCATGAACCTCACCATGTGAAAGAAGGACGACCAAAGCAACAATGCCCTTTTCTGCCCAGGCTTAGTCTTCTCACACTGTCTCTGGCTTGATGTGTGTGGAAATTCTTTCTTTCTTTATTTTTTTTCAAGATGGAGTCTTGCTCTGTCACCCAGGCTGGAGTGCAGTGGCATGATCTCGGCTCACTGCAACCTCCGCCTCCTGAGTTCAAGCAATTTTCCTGTGAGTAGCTGGGATTACAGGCACCCGCCACCACACCCAGCTAATTTTTGTGTTTTTCGAAGAGACAGAGTCTCACCATGTTGGCCAGGCTGGTCGCAAACTCCTGACCTGGTGATCCGCCCGCTTCGGCCTCCCAAAGTGCTGTGATTACAGGCATGAGTCACCACGTCCGGCCAATACTTTCAATTTGATTCTCAACAAGGAGGGGTCTAGGATCCCCCTGGAGAAGGGTAAATGGCTGGGAGTTTAACGTACAGGGCCAGCTCCTGGAAACCTGCCACTCCTTCCCAAGACCATGCAGAGAACCTGTGTCTCAGGCTCCCGTGTCACTCTTCTGTGGCAGCTGGCACAGGCACTTCAGACAAGAGCTTTCTCTGTCAAAACACACCAGCCCGATTTGTCCAAGGGCACAGTCACCTGGTCCTGTCTCTGGAAGCTGAGAGGAAGGTTCAGAGGTGTGATTTTAGAAGCAGGGGCGCAGAAAGTGCCAAGCCCACCACCCAGCATTCCGTCACTGGAGCCCTGTTGGTTCCACCTAGAAGGTCTCTGTGTGCTCATGTGTCCTTTTGAAGAAATCTGGCTGGAAACTGCCATCTGTTAAGTTACAGGTATTTTACTCATTTATACTTCAGCACGGAAGAACTGATAGCAAATAGCAAACATGTCACCTGGGACAAAGGGATGCTGACAGCCATGTGGAAGAATGAGGGCAATACCCACAGATCCCTGCTCCCCGAACTTGGCCAGCTCCACCACTGAGTGAGGTCGAAGTTTGCTCCCCTGTGGACACGAGTTGGCATGAAACTCGGAGCGCCTGTGAGCACATGCAGCCCAGACGAGGGGCGAGGTGCACAGGGAGACTATGGGAGGTGGCAGGCTTTTCATATAACTCTGTGATCTTCAAACAAGCTTTGTATTCAAGCACAGTGTAAAATATTAGTGTCAAGTTTCCATTTAACTTTAGAATTTTATTCACACAACGATTCAGTAAGCCCTCAGGAAAACAGTGAATGAGGCAGTGAGACAACACACCAGTGCCGTCTCCAGTGGCAAACTCCTAGGGCCATGGGCACATCTGTGGTTTCTTTTCCATAACCCTGGGACCCCCACACAGAGCAGGTGCCCAGCAGCCTTTGCTAACCCAGACAGGGAACCATAAGGATGATCATACTGGAGAGATGGGCTCCGATACAGGAGGAACAACCTCTCCCTGTTCACGTGAAGCTCTCTCCTATTAATAAAAGTGTAAGTTTATCTGTGTAAACGAGGAGGAGATAATTACTAAAATGGGGGAGAAGAGGCTAAAAGTGGTCATAATCTACTTGAATTCTCTTTTAGCTACTCAGGTACTTACGGGAATAAGGCAAGAAAAATTATGTTAAAAATAAGTCACAAGTCTCCTGATCACAACTACATCTGTGCCTGTGGCTCTGGCTCTCACTGCCGTCACTGACAACTCAGGAAGTCGCCTTAGATTGGGAAATCGATACCTTTCCCAGAGAGCCTTCCTTAAAGGTCACAAACAGGATGTGTACATTTAAAAATAATCGTACAGAGTCTGTAATATTTACCCTTGTCTAGAGGAACAATGTATAAACATTTGCTTAAAAAGAAAATCTCACTGCCTAGGACTCATGAGAATAGACGAGAGGGGCCGCTTTGCAAGTGCAGTGAGAATGATCACGGTGCCTGTGACAATAATACCCCGGATGGTAATACCCTGAAGGCTCCGAAGGATGCAGAGCAGGCTCTCCTCCCTGTGGGCCACCCTGTGTCTGTCCTGCGTGGGCAGATGTCTTGGGTTCAGGCCCACTCTGGCCCCTGGGTTAGGGGACCTTGGCATGGAGCTTAACTTCCCTGACCTGTGTCCCAGGTACAAGCTCTCCCTGACTAGAGAACTCAACTCCTCTGGCTTCAGAACTCTCACTTCTGTTTCCACGGTTGCTCTGAGAGATCTTGGGGTCCAGAAAGACCCCAAGGAGAATCGTGCCTGTTGTTGATCAGTGATGTAACTACGTGAGGTGGGCTGGCGCCCGTGTGGAGGAGGGGAGGACTGGGAAGCTGGCTTCATGAGTGGGCTGGCAGCATCCAGAACATTCACCTCTGCATGGCTTGCTTCCAGTCACCCAGTGTTTCCTGAAATCTGTGCTTCTGGATGATTCTGAAAGCAGAGGGTTTAAAAGTCTAGCATGTGGCTCTTGGTTGCAGGGAAGGCAGCCCAAAGGACCCAGAGGAAACAGCCTGGGGTCAGCAGCTTTTCATGGGCGGCCCTGAGTGACAGGTGCTTTAGGATGTGTGTCCTCAAAAAGAGGGGCTCAGCCACTGAGGAGTGGGCCAGGGGCAGTGCATGCAGGAAGGGCCACTGGACAGGAAGCAGGGTGGCCTGGCTGTTCCAGGGGTGAAAAGAAGCTGCTGGTCCTGCTGGGAAGGAGAGGTACTGATCTACCCAATCTCATCTTGTCCCCCCAAAACCCTCTGAGCCAAAACCCTCTGAGGACACAGATTCTAAGAGGCGATAAGCCTGCCTGAGGCCTCCCTCTGGAGCTGTGGGGCATGTATTTGTTCATTTGACATCAGGTCTGTGTTCCCTCCTCATCTTCCCTTCCCGCATCACCAGGAGTAAAATGACTCAGTCGCCTTGCCGGTTTATCAGACTCTACCTGGCATGTCCTGCTTCATAGCAGGACACCTAGAATATGACCAGTGAGACATCATGTTATCTTAAAAACCACCAGGTAAAACTTTCATCAGTTGTTATCACACTCGGTAATAAAATTTGAAAAAATTATTCCATATATTTCCTGAAAACCTTATTCTATCAGGAAATGTCACCTTGGTTATAACATCAAATACTTGCTACTAAAGACTCTTTTTTCCATAATAATCTTAAATTTTTCTGTCTGTGTGGGCCTGTGTGTAAGCATGTGGGCCTGTGTAAGGTGTAAACAGCCTGCAGCCCATCGTTTTGGGGCTTTAGGCACTGTTATATCAAACACCACATATTCTACAAGCCCATTTTAAAGGGTCTGTTGTTTTTCCCTCTCAATCAACCAATTATGCGTAAAAACTTTCAGGCCTCTAAATGCAATCATTGTGTCTTCAAAACGATGAAGACACTTAAGATTACCTTTTTGTTTTTAAGTCTTAAAGGCTCAAATTTTGGTTTCCTGTGAAGCTAGTAGATTGTCCATATTACCCAATAATTGATAAAATCTCAGAGCTTTTTTTTTTTTTTTTTTTAAATAAAGGACCAACCACAGGAGGTGGTTGTGCTGTGACAGATAAGGTCAGGCTGGCCCAGCCAAGCCAGCTGTGGAATTTGTGCCTCATGCTGTCACACAGGTTTGGAGATAGGCTTGCTTTTCAATGGATGGGTTCCTCACTACCTCTCCTCTTACTGCCCACCCTGGCTAAAGGCAGAGAACTGGGATGCTGTGAGAGTCAGAGACCTGTGGGATGGGAGGAGGGGAGTCCATCTATGACGAGGAACGAGGCGGCTCACGACAGACCTCTTCCTACTGCAGAGCTCAGAAATGCACACAGTCACATTTGCTCCTGAGAGGGGGACGCTGAAACTGCACACAGGAGTCTCTGGAGGTGTTAAAGGGGTACAGGGTTGGCTCGGTGAAGTCTACGAAATAGGCCACACCATCCTCCTCATCCTTTCTCCCTTCTGCTCGAGGCTGGAGAGAAGGCCTGCATAGCCCACAGTCCTCAGACCCTGCTCATTCCAGGAGCAGGGACAGCTTCGCCCTGGAGCAGAATTCTGGAGAGAATAATTCTGTAGCCGACTTCATGTCAGTCCCCACCCCACACACTCAGCCACACCACAGTCCTTCTGCCTTTTTCATCAGTGACGTTCTGGGAACTCACAACTACACAAAAATCTGGTGTGGCAGGGTTTATAGGTGTCAACATTGAAGTGGCCACTGAACAGAATTCAGAGAAGCACAGAATCTGCAAGGCAGTGGGTCACAACGAAGCCCCCCTTCACTGTGAATGGCCCCTCAAGCAGGCCAGAGGTGACAGGGGCAGGTGTGTGGCTATAAAAATAACTCTGGCCTTGATTTGTTTTTCAAGTGTCAGCGTAACAGATAACTCCAACTCTATCCATCCTCCACAGTCAGGCTTGTCTACACGGGAACGATGACCACCTACTTTTAACATTTATGTGCAAGTACAGTGTATGGGCATTAAGTGCTCTTACCACAATAACATAGTTTAAAATGTGGCAGCACCGCGAGCTGTGTTGTTTACGCGCGAGAAAGAGCTCAGTTCCTCGGGGACCCCCTCTTGGATTCTAATGGGAAAGGTGGTGTTTGGGACTGGTTCCTCCACCCTGCTGAGGTCATCAGTTCCTCTCTTGCTTGTCAACCTTTCCCTGCTGCCCTGTTTGCCAGCAACACAGCACATGACTACCCCTATGCCGACACCGCCTTCAGGTCACAGACTCAGGCACCAGAAACCATCAGAGCCTCGACTATCACATGCTCACTACTTGCCCCTCCCGCCGGCCAAATGTCGTGGCCACAGAAAACAGACACAACGTGTTTCCCTACTTCTAATGGGGTTCTGGGTCTGGGCATCTGCTCAGACAGGTAAGTCAAGGACAGGGTTGATTCTGGGTTGATTCTATCAACCCATCACCCTCATAACAAGCGTCACCAAAACCACGTCTCCTAACCAGACCTGAATTTCTACTCAAAGAACGAAAATAAACACAGCTCAAGGGCTGACTGTAGGCTCCAGTGACCCAGTCGGCCACACCATGCACAGCCTCACCTATCCATTAGAAATCTCAGGGACACACACAGGGGATCCCAGAGCTCCAGCGCCCTCCAGGGCAAGTGTGGATGGAGACGTGCAGTGGCTTAGGCCGTACTTGCCTTTATGGTGGTGCCGGGACCCACGTCGTGCAGCAGAGACATCTCTGGGGGGCTCCTGGGCAGCCCATCATCCTCAGAGCTCATGCCAGCATCCTCTCCGCGCTTGGCAGGAAGCCCCCCTGGAGGAGGCGGTGGCCCCATTTTCACATTACACTGTATTTTTAACTAGATTGGAATAAAGAACATGTGCTCTTATTTTCATCAATGATATTTATCAACAGATCCTCCTGCTCTAACTCAGTCATGCTGGAAATGCCTTCAGTGTCTTGGCGTGGTGCAGAGAACTGAACGTGCATCTGCCACCAGCTCTTCCACTGCCATCTCTTCCTTGTTCATCTAAGAATGAGTTGAGATCCCGCTGTAACTCATTTGGTGTCTCCTGGGAGAGCTGTCACGTACATGTGATTCTACTTTACGGCATATCAAATAAACCAAGCGGAAATCATTTAAAAACTTCTCAGTGGATACTTGACTTGCACACCAGGTGACATGACCAAGGAAACATTTACCTGCAGTGCTTTAATCCGATCACACACATTTTCTTGGGAAAACACCCGCACAGGCCGAGTAGGGTCCTGTCCGGACTCAGGAATGAAAATACTGTCGTGAGAAAGGGCCCGGCTGCCCAGCGTGCCCCTCGACTCCCTAGGATAAAAGAGCCACTGTGAGACTCTGCCCACCTCCATCTTACTGACCCCGGGGGACTCAGAATGAGAGAGGGGGATGTGGGTTAACAGAATATCAAACGACATTCCCTCTGCTGCATTTACATTTCAGGGGTCCCTGACTTCAGTTCATCCACACACTGTCAACTATTTGGAGCATTGCAGAGATAGGAATCTTCCTAGGAGATCTAAAGGTTGCGTGAATTATTTTTATTAATGAAAAAACCAAGGTTTGACAAGGTGTGAGGTGCAAGACAGCAAGCCTGCAGAAGGGAGGGGCTGGCACGGCCAGCTTCTGAGGATGTCGCGGCTGCCCCGGGGAGGGTGAGGTCCCGCCTTGTGGGCAAACACGCAGCCCCTCCATGGGCTGAAGGCTGTATGTGTGCAGCAGGCTGAGGGCCTACCTGATGAACGCATCCTCACAAGACAAACCAAGACATACATCCGTGGCTGGTTTGAAATGAGAACTACTAATCTGCAAAGCCGTGGCCTCTTTTTATGACCTGGCACCATCCGTGTGACCAAAACCTCTGTGCCTGCCTAGATCCTGGAGCAGAGATGGTGGCCTTCTGTCGTCGCCATCCCAGTCCTTTCCTCAGCTCGGAGCTCAAGAATCTGATCTGGGACTGAACCCACAGGACATTCACAAAATGTCCTAAAAGGATGTGGGAATTAGCTGTCAAATTTTCCTAGCAGCGCTGGCTGCCTGAACAATAGGTGGAAGGAGATGACTGAGACCCAGTGATGAAGGAAGGAAAGCCTACCTCTGCACACACTGGACATCTCGTGTGCACCACCCCACGTCCTCCCCTCCTGCCACTCCCCTACCCTGGGCATCCTGTCCACCGTGGGGCATTAAGGACTCTGAGGTGTGGCCCTGTCCCACTGTCAACCAAACTGTGTTGGTTAATAATGCTTCCTTCTCATTAAACTCTCATGCCTGCAACCGTAAGCTTGCAAGTGGGAACCCATGGCTCCCAGGATGTGCGTGTCCTCACATGCCAGGGAGGGAACCACACCAACTGAAGGAATCGGGCCCTCCCTGCCCAGGGCAGCTCTTAACCCAAAGGTCGCACACACACTTGGATTTCCCCACCCCAGTGGACAGCCCATGGCCCACACTCTCTGGGAACCACAACCACCACCCAAGCACCTCCGTTTTGGATGTAACAAGGAGTGCAGGCAGCATGAAGAGGCCTCTGCAAAACCACAAAATGGCACATGTGCAAGGCCATTCACTACAGCAATATTCAGAAGACTGAAAGATGGGAAACGCCCAGTGCCCCTCAGTAGGCATCTAACTGAATCAACCATGAATGTCATACAATGGAGGACTCCACAGCTGGTCCGATGGGCAGGAGGGTCTCCGCACGCTGCATACAGGCATCACCAGATACTACTAAGTGAAATAAATAACCACTGCAGAGCAATGTCCACAGTATGTCAGCACTGCATAGGAAAGGGGGGCCTGGATATTATCTGAACATGTGTGTGTGTTTCTTATTTTTAAAAAAATGAAAACAGAAGAAGAAATAACAAGTAAATAAAAGTGGTTTCCTTTAGGGGGAAAGAAATAACTAGATGAGGAGACATAGTGCAAAGATACCTATATTTACAACTTTGTCTTTGAAACTACATAAACGTTTTATCTAATTAAAAGACGAAACCAAACAAAAAGAGAAATTAAAAAATCACTAAAAAGGCCCGGCATGGTGGCTCAAGCCTGTAATCCCAGCACTTTGGGAGGCCGAGACGGGCGGATCACGAGGTCAGGAGATCGAGACCATCCTGGCTAACACGGTGAAACCCCGTCTCTACTAAAAAATACAAAAAACTAGCCGGGCGAGGTGGCGGGCGCCTGTCGTCCCAGCTACTCGGGAGGCTGAGGCAGGAGAATGGCGTGAACCCGGGAGGCAGAGTTTGCAGTGAGCTGAGATCCGGCCACTGCACTCCAGCCTGGGCGACAGCATCTGGATCCACCGAATGATGTACCGGGAAAAAAAAATCACTAAAACTAGAAAACAAACACAAACAAACAAATCTAATTTTATATCAGATTGTTGGCATGACCACACAGAGAATATAATAATTTCAAGTGACTTTGACTGCACATCCAAGATAGAATACATTCTAAGAAAAACAACAAGAAAACCAAAGACAACAAATTGCACTCACTAATCTTATGAGTAGTAATAATTAAAAAACCAAAAATACTGAATTGCACTCTGCAGTTTTATTAGCAATAACACTGATTATAAGACAGTGTGCAGAAGAGTATTTATAGTATCTTTAACTTCCGTGTAGGAAAGGGATAAGGAAATTATTATGAATATATGATAGGTTAAAGAAAATAAGTCATTTCATTAATATCATAAGGAGCCCTGGTTTCCAGCGTAAGAGAAAAGAGAATACAAAGAATTAAAGAAGGAAAAATGTTGTCTTACTAGACTTGAATTGGAAATATCAGCAAATTGATGATAAATTTTTCTCTTGAAAAGTGAACCATTTCCTAGCTATATCCACTGGACAGGTTTAGAATCAGTGACAGCCAATTAGTAATTATCACCCCGGCAGCTGGACTGAGGTCTTTAAAAGCCATTTCACACCACAAGGAGGGGGCCAGGGCCCTGTGAAGAAAGTGCTGATTCCAGGTCAGGGGAAGAAAATACACTAAATAAACCTGAGATTTCTCATTGGACAAGAAAGTAAGGAAGCCATCAAAGATGAAAGGGGTCATGTCAAAAGACAGAGCGAATTTCAAGTGACTCTCAACAGCCTAAGATGGAACAACTTGAGCATTACATGAACAAAGACTGTCATGGATTAAAAAGCAAATCAAATATATAAAAAGTAATGCATTCCAATGATATCTGGGAAAAAAAAAGAAAAAACAAAACCTACTGGCCACTGTCAGGAGTTGCCAGGGGACCACGTCGTTACTCTGAGGGTGGATCAATGAAAGGAGAGCCAAGCATGATCCTGACTTTCCTCTAGATTGTATTTCAGAGCAACCAAGCAATTGATGGAGGAAAGTTCTTCATCAAGGAATTTCAGTTAGCAAGTGTACAATGAATGACAGAATTAGAAAAACCACCACTTTGTGACAAAATAACAAATCATCACCAAGCGTTAAAACTGTCAGGTGAAGGCTGGTGGAGGGACCACAATGACACACCCTGAACCCACTGCTCAGAAAGCATGTGACTCATCCCGGGATGTGACAACATCCAGCACCTGCTTGAACCTGACAGCATCTGGATCCACCAAATGATGTACCGGGAATTGGGAGAATATAGGAAAGAGCTGAATCACACCAAGAGAAAGCAAAGCCAGAATACGGGACATTCTGCAGGACACGTGGCCCTGCTTTGCCTTCAGATCAATGACGTGAAACAAAGGGAGAGGGCAAAAGGAAATCGTTACAGATTTAAGAAGCACAACCACACAGACACAGACGCGATGAATGGGCGTCACTTTCTTCAACCCACAGGGTCCCACGTGGTTTGCTCACACTAATGTGCCTCAGTAAACGGAGCTGTTTTCCCCCCAGTGATGGATGAGAAGTTGCCGCAGACTCTCCCACAGACCAAACAGTACCTTCCTCTTCCTCTGTGCTGCTGTCTAAAAATGTCATTTGCACGTCCCAGGCCTCCTCATGCCCCACCCCCAATCTTCCTTGCCTAGCATCAAAACCAGCAAACTGTTCGCAGTCACTGAGCACCAGCTCCCTGCAAGGTGCTAGGAATATCAAGATAAAAAGCACACCGTCTCCACTTTCCCTGGACCCCTGTGGCAGGGAGGACATCAGCAAGTGGGCAGGACAATTCATCCCAGCTTGCCCCTCTGGCTGGGCTCCCATCTGTGGTTAGAGGGGCCACACCCAGGGGCCTGTCGCTCCAACACCAGAACTGTGTGCTCCAGTCAACAGACGGGGTGGATGGGGGTGGATGTTAGTTTCCCTGGGGCTTGCAAAGTGATGACATTGAATAATTAGCAATATTATCCGTGATAACATCTCGTTCCCCAAGAGTTCAGAGCACCGCCTAAAAAAGTGCATGCACGGCTGGGCACGGTGGCTCATGCCTGTAATCCCAGCACTTTGGGAGGCCAGGGTGGGCGGATCACGAGGTCAGGAGATCGAGACCATCCTGGCTAACACGGTGAAACCCCGTCTCTACTAAAAATACAAAAAATTAGCCGGGCGTGGTGGCGGCGCCTGTAGTCCCAGCTACTCGGGAGGCTGAGGCAGGAGAATGGCGTGAACCCGGGAGGAGGAGCTTGCAGTGAGCCGAGTTCAGGCCACTGGACTCCAGCCTGGGCGACAGAGCGAGACTCCGTCTCAATAAAAATAAAAATAAAAATAAAAAATAAAAAATAAAAAATGCAAGCACAGTGTATCCCTTCCACACTTCACACGGTGCAATGTGAGTCTATTACAATCCCTGCTGGCACCAAAAACAAACAAAACCAAAAAACAAACCCAAAACTGGAAAAAAAAAAAAAGTTCCAATCTTTCCTTTCCAGTCATCTGGTGCCACCAAGTGGCCAGTAACGTTTCTACTCCTTTAAAAAACAGGCGAGGAAGCTGGGGAGGAGGGGAGAGCAGGGGAGGGGACAGGACACCATTATCCGGATGCTCAAGCCTGGAACCCATCTCGGCGTGGTCTGTACCCCAAACCTGAGGGATATGATGTTTTCTGAAGAGTTCTACCCTTAAAGGGCCAGTGTTGTCTTTAAAAAAAAAGGTAAAAGCTAGCATAGCAACAAATCTGTTTCGTTTCCTCTTAGTCACAGAAATAACTGCTAGAATAACTGCAGCATATGTACTGTAACTATATTTTAATGAAATACAAGTTACAAAAATAAGGATTTCTTTACTAGACCTCCCTAGTTTTTTGTGCTTATTGGGTCTGTTCTTAATGATATTTTTGGATGATTTTTTCTAAGAAAGCAAGAAGCACCCCCTCCCCACCCCCATCAAGTGAAAATATTCTGATTAGATTATTCAACGTTCAAGTTCAGAGAAATGTATTTTTCTAGTATAGTATCTAGTCCTCAAAAGAGATTTAAGTCAAGTTAAACCAGGGACCCTATCCTGATCCTGTCACTTTCAGCTGTAGGATGCTGGGCAAGTTCCAAATTTTATCTAGGGCTTATTTTGTCCGTTTAGAAAATGGCATACAGTACCTCGTCTCCCACAGTTATTGTGGACTTAAACACACACAGCGTTCTCCACCCCTAAGTTTGAAAAGACAGAAAACACAACTTCTATGGAAGAACCTCTAATGGAATTACCCAGGAGGAAAGGGGGCTCAGAAATCCAGCAAGTCACCAGGATAATGAAATAGTGTATTTGGGTGCTCCTGGCCCGAGAGATGTAAAATGCAACTTACTCCAGCTCATCCTCGGAGTCGTAGCCCACTGGCCCAGACTCGATGGCAATGACCTCATTCCTCGTCTGACTCTGTTTCCAGGTGCTACTTTCTGTGGACGATGGCGATTCTTTTCTCTTCTTCTTCCCAAAAAACTTCTTAAAAGTTTTGAATTTAGATTTTTTCTTTCCTATACAGATGAGAGAAAAAAGCAAATAATTAGTAATAATAAGTAAGAGTGTTACAGTATGTGGTCATGTGCATGTATGCAATGGGCACGTAAAAGAGAGAAAGCAAGATTTCCATCCATGCATCAGTTACCTGCTTCTGGAAAGTCCTTTTACGGTGCAGAAGTACATGGTATACCAGTTTTGCACACCTGAAAACACATCTTCTTTTCTTTTATTTAGGATATTTAAGTAAAAGAGCCAAGAACACTTTGGAAGATGATCACAGAATCAAAATTAGCCACTTTCTTCTCATCTATAACCAAGTTCTAATTTCTAGAATATATGTAAGTCAACTACAGAAGTCCTGAGGAGGTAAAGGTTACGGGATAACCCAAGCTATTTAGAAAATAATTCTTGGCCAGGCATGGTGGCTCACAACCTGTAATCCCAGCACTTTGAGAGGCTGAGGCAGGAGGTTTGCTTGAGCTCAGGAGTTCAAGACCAGCCTGGGCAACATAGTGAGACCTTCTTACTACAAAAAAACAAAAACAAAAACAAAAACAAAAAAAGTTGGGCATGGTGGCACATGCCTGTAGTCCCAGCTACTAGGGAAGCTAAAGTAGGAGGTTTGCTTGAGCCCAGGAGTTTGAGGCTGCAGTGAGCTATGACCGCACCACTGCACTCCAGCCTTCGTGATAGAGCAAGACCCTCTCTCTCAAAAAAATATTTAAAATTCTGAAATGCTTTGTCTAGTGTGAATACAGCATCAAGGACAGAGGAGGCCCAACCTCATGGGCAAGAAGGTGGCTCTCTAGGGCACCAACTGTATGATGAGCTAATGACTTTTGGTGAGAAAAATAATGAGACTGGTCATTTCCAAAGGGGAGGGGTGTGGCCAGGCTGAGCCCAACTCTGCCATGCTTCCTGGATTATTAGAATTCACCACACTTTTCAACATTTTGTGATCGCTTCTCTGGTGACAACTTCATTCTCTCCCACAAATTCTATCATACCCAGGTTTCCATGATTTCACATTAGCTGCTCAGCAAAGTTCATTCCTTTTCCAGAATAGTTACAGAACTGACAGTGGAGGGATGTAGCATCGTAGATTACCAGGATGCTGTCTAATACCTCCTGAAAATTTGCAAAACAATTCATTAGATTTTATAATAATTTAATAAACTGAATTCCTTAAAAAACCCAGGATCTTTCTGTTGTGTTTATATTACTGCCTCCTTGGGAAGTTTACATGATCTTACTCTCATGGGGAGAATTCCTTAGGATTACTTTAGTAGGAGTTCCTACATCACTACAGGTAGAACAAATCACTCTCCAAGGATAAATCAGTTCTACGGCACAGTTTTCTCAACTCCTAGTGTGGAAGTGTTCTCAACTTTACAATCGTAGAAAATGTTTATGTTGTTAGTAGATGGTTCTCAGTGAGCATTTATTATTTTGAAAGACTCTTAAGAGTTTTCTGCATTTCATCAGGACACCCTATGGCTTTTGCCTAGTGAACAAATTGGAACGCATCCTTGAAGGCCTGAATAGATACACAACCTCAATATCACAACCATCAAAGATGCTGCATTAATGGTGTCCTCATGTATAACTGGTAGACCTCAAGTATAACTGCTGTACACCTTTGTTCCACTGGCAGGGCTGAGTCAGCCATCCATTTGTTCAAGTTATATTTCTTCTGCTAGTCTTTGTAGTTCAATTTCTTTAACGGTTACAGGACTAGTCCAGTTTTCTACTTCTTGAATCTTTTTTTAGTAACATTTTTCTGAAAATGTATTTTTTTCCAAATTCTCAAATGTATTGGCCAAAAATTATTAATAATATCCTTATATCTTTCAAGCATTCACAACATCTATAGTGACTGATGCCTCTTTTCTTACCCTGATATGAATTATCATAAATGTGCCTCTTCTTTGTTCCTTGATCAATGGCACCAGAGGCTGATCAATTTTAATTGCCTTAAAAAAGTTTAGCTTTGTTAATTCTTTCAGTTGAATGTCTATTTCATATTGTATTAATTTCTGTTCTTATCTTTATTCCTTCCTACTTTCTGCAGGTTTACTTTACTATTTTCTTAAACTTCTTGAGATAAACATTTGGTTTATTACTTTTTAGACTTTCCTGCTTTTGTAATATAATATTTAAGGCAATGCATTTCCCTCTAAGTCTGTTTTAGCTGCATCTACATATTTTAGAACGTAGTATTTTCATTATTGTTTGGTCAAAAATAGTTTCTAACTTCTATTATGATACCTTCTTAGACTTGTAGGTTATTTAGGAAAGTATGTCTTCTTCATTTCCAAGCAGTTGAGGATTTTCTAGCTTAATTATTTCTAGCTTATTATTTCTAATAATTATTGTTATTGATTTCTAGCTAATTAGTTATTGATTTCTAGCTCAATTAATTGCACTGTGGTCCAGTAACATACTCTGAACGATTTGAACCCATTCAAATCGGTTGATACTTGCTTTATGGCTTACCACATGAATAATTTTTAAAAATGTTCCTGGTGTGCTTGAAAATAATGCTTTTTCTTCAGTGTTCTATATATGTCAATTAGAAGATCTCTCTTAAAAAATTGTGTTGTCCAAGTATTTTATATCTTTACTGACTTTTAAAATGTTTGTTTTAGCAATTACTGAGAGAGATGTGTTAAAAATAACCCCACTCTGATGACAGATTTTCTTATTTATCTTTAGTTGTCAGTTTCTACTTTACAACTTTATTTGTTGGGGAGGTTGCTTTCCTGCAAAAACCGGAAAGCCTGCTAGACAAATTCTAAAAGAGTTGTAATACTTACAACTTTCTATAATACGTTAATGCATAGAAATGTAAAATTATTATCTTGCTGAGGAACTGAACATTTTGTGAAAAGGCCCTCTTTATGTTTAGTTATGTTTTTTGCCTTACATTTCATTTTGACTGCTCTTAGTACAGGTAGATCATACCAAATCGGAAAATCTGAAATGCCGCAAAATCTGAAACTTTTTGAGCTCCCACCCGATGCTTAAAGGAAATGCTCACTGGAGCATTTCAGACTTTAGATTTTCAAATTTGAGACATTCAACTGGTAAGTATAATGCAAGTATTCCAAAATCTGAAAAAATCTGAAATCTGAAACACTCCTGATCCCAACATTTTGGATAAGGGATATTCAACCTGTATAGCTACACCATCTTCCTCTACCCAGCGCTCACGAGGTACAGGTTTTTGTATCCTATTACTATCCTTACTTTTCTGAACCTTTATAGTTAAGATTCATACATTTAGAGTTTTGGAATCTAATCTGATAATCTTTAACTCTTAACTGGAACAATTAATGTAATTGATTAATCTAAGTAGTTAATCCACTCACACTCACTATTATTACTGATATATTAATAAAAACAAATCTATCATCTTATGTGTTTTTTCATTGATCTTCAAAAAAAAAAAAAAACATTCCATTTCTTCCATTGCTAGTTTACAACCCTTATCTTTTGCTTCCTCTTTCAGTGGTTACCCTAGAAATTATACTACACATGTGATTACAGGTCAATACAAGGACCTTAGAATACTTCAATTCCATTTTTGGCACTATTGTTTTAATTCTGATTGTTTAAAAAAAACCCGAAGTTATTTCATGTTCACATAGATGTATGCACTTGCTTATTGTTTTCTTTATTCTTCATTGCTTCTCATACTCCAGATTGTGCACTAGGAAGATTTTCCTTTGGCCTGAGGGCACATTCGTGCAGAATCTGTGTTTACTGGGGGCTTACTGGGACCAACCCAGTTTTTGTTTGTCCGAAAATGCTTTCATTTCTCCATCACTCCTGAAATACATTTTTCCTAGGTATAACATTCTATTAAGCTGGTGCAAAAGTAATTGCAGCTCTTGCCATGACAGTTAATGGCAAAAACAGCAATTACTTTTGTGCCAACATAATAGTTTGGCAGTTACTTTTCCTAAGGATATTTAGGCTATTATTTCCCTGTTTTGTGGCTTCTGTTGTGTTGAGAAGTTAGGCATTAGTTATTTTTTTGCTCCTGTCCAGGTAATCTGTCTCTTTTTCTCAGACTCATTTTAAGATTTTTCATCCTCCTTGGTTTTCTGCAGTTTTACCTCATGTGGATTTTTCTTTGATTTATCCTTCTTGGGATTCATTGGGTTTCTTAAACCTGTGGGTTGGGTCATCTTTTTGATAAAATCCAGAAAATTCTCAGTCCTTCTCTCCTCCCCTGAGACTATGCTCAAATGGATATTACACCCTTTCACTTACCCTCTACGCTCCTTGTTCCCCTTTCTGTATTTTCCATCTTTTTACCATTCTATGGTACATTTTGTATAATTTCTTGTGATCTATCTTGATCTGATATAATCTGCAGTTATAACCATGCATTTTAATAATTACATTTTATTTTACATAAATATAATTGAAAATAAAATTTTAATAATTACATTTATTTTAAATGAATTTATGTAAAATAAAATTTTAATCATTACATTTATTTCTAAAAATTCCTTTGTTTTTCAAATTTGCTACACCTTGTAAAAAAATTATTTTGTAAATTACACACAGTAAAATTCATTCTTTCTGGTGTACATAGAGTTGTACATAGAGTTGTATAATTATCACCACAATCAAGATACAGGACTGTCCTCATGCTGCCCTTTTGTAGTCCAACATTCCCCGCTACCTTTAACCCCTGGCAACCACTTATAACTTTTCTGTTCCTATAGTTTTGCCTTTTCTAGAATGTCATATAGATTAAGTCACACACTATGTCCCCTTTTCATTCTGGCTTCTTTCACTCAGCACAACACATTAGAGGCTCACTCATGTTATACCAAATCAATAGTCTATTTCTTTTTATTGCTGAGTAGAACTCCATTGTGTGAATATACCAGTTTGTGGAACCATTTCAACCTGCTGAAAGACATCTGGGTTCTTTTCAGTTTTTAGTAATTATAAAGTTGCTATAGTTTGTGCGTGTGTGTGTGTGTGTGTGTGTGTGTGTAAACATAAGTTTCCACTGCCAAGTAAATACCTAGGAGTTGGATTGCCGAGTCATAGGCTAAGTGTATGTTTAATTTCACAAGGAGCTGCCAAAATGTTTTTCCAAAGTGGCTGTGCCATTTTGCATTCCTCCCTTCAGTGTATCCTTATCAGCTCCTCTTGCTATGGTGGTCTTCTCCAGACATTTAATAGGTGTGTCCTGGTATCTCACTGTAGTTTTACTCTGCATTACCTAATGATTATAGACATTGAGATTTCTTCATATGCTTATTTGCCATCCGCACATCTTCTTAGGTTAAAGCATCATTTAAAATTTGCTCCTCATTTTGTAACTGAGTTATTTGTTTTCTTATTTTTGAATTTTGAGAGTTCCAAATATATGCTGGATATAAGTCCTTTATCAAGTGTGATTTATAAATATTTTCTTCTAGTCTGTGACTTGTCTTTCCATTTTCTTAAAAGTGTCTTTCTCAGAGCATATTTTAAAGTTTTGATGAAGTCCAATTTATAAATTTTTTCCTTTTATGGATTCAGGTATTATATCTAAAAATCCTTGCCTAATCCTTGGTCATAAATATCTTCTACTATGCTTTCCTTTAAAGGTGTTAAGAGTTTTATATTTAGGTTTATGACACATTTTGAGTTAATTTTTGTATAATCTGTGAGGTATATTTACATATGAATGTCCAATTGTTCCAGCACCATTTGTTGAAATATTATCTTTTCTCCAATGAATTGCCTTTGCAATTTTGTCAAAATTGATTAACCATATTTGTATGGGTCTGTTTTTGAACTCTACTTCCTTCTGTCTCTGTGTATCTATCCTTTTGCCAATACCATACTGTCTTGGTTACTGCAGCTTTATAGCAAGTCTTAAAAACAGGTAGTACGAAGCTTTCAACTTTACGTTTTTTCAAAATTGTTTTTACCTATTCTAGCTCTTTGTTTTTTCACACAAATTTTCAAATCAGTTTGCCAATATCTGCAAAAAGTTCTGCTGGGATTTTGATTGCTTCCTCTTTACCCCTCCTCCTCCCCATTTCTGATGGGTTATTTAAAAAAAATCATCCCAGGCACTATTATTATTTCATCTATGTGGACTTGGCTTTTTCCTAAATGAAAAAATCTCTGACTCTTCATGGAAATCAAATAAATTATTACTTGTCAGTATTCCTGCTACAGAATATTGAGCTAACTGTGTGTCGGTCTTCCATAACTGACTTTTAAAGATTGCACTGCAATCTTGGTGTATTTGGTAAGAGTTCTGAGTGTTTTTCTGTATATGTTGTATAATCATGTCGTCTATAAATAGAGACAGTTTTATTTCTTCCATCTCTCTGTCTTTTATTCCTTTCTCTTGCTTTATTGCACTGGCTGGGTGCTATGCCACTTTTCCCTGGATGTTTTAAAACTTTTTTATTATCTTCAAACATAGTATGCATAGTTGTTTTATAGGATATATTTGGTAATTCTGATATTGATGCCTTCATGTGTCTGTTTCTCTTGTCTGTCTTCACGTGTGCATGGCGTTCTCCTTGTGTGCATATCTCCGTCCATAGTTCCCCTTTTCATAAGGAAACCCTACTCCAATATGATCTCATCTTAACAAATTACATCTGCAATAACCCCGTCTTCAAACAAAGCCACATTTGGAGATGCTGGAGACTTCAACATACGGATTTGGTGGGAGCACCATTCAACACATAGCATGTTCATTCTCATTCATAGTATACTGCTGCCTTTGATGCCTGGTTATCACTATGTGGTTGTCATGACACTGAAAATATTGTTTTCTGTAATAACTTGAAGTCTAAATAGAAGGCGCCTTCCTTTAGTGAATATTATTTGTTTCTGCAAAGTACCTGGGTTTGAATCCAGTCTAGAAGCAGTATGAACCAAGTTCAAGGGTTGAGGTTCTCTGAATTACCCGAATGGTGGAAACTCAAGCTACAAATCTACAAAAGGGTTGGTTTACCCCTACTTCACACCTACTCAGATTTGGTAGCTCCTTGGCTCCCCTTTATTGTAGAGGGCATCTTCTATTAGACCATCTACCTTACACAGACCTTGTAGTTTGATATTTGACCTTGCTCTCACCTTCCACCCCATGAAGACATGAAAATTTCCAAGACTGGTAAATGATCTAAGGGCAAAAGTGGCTTTTATACTCTGTTGTCTCTCCAGGTTACCATTTTCCTTTTCTATTTTTTTTTTTTTTTTTTGGAGGCAGGGTCTTGCTTGTTGCCCAGGCTGGAGTGCAGTGGTGTAATCATAGCCCACTAAAGCATTAACCTCCTGGGCTCACACAATCCTCCCACCTCAGCCTCCCAAGTAGATGGGACTACAGCTGTGTGCCACCATGTCCAGCCCATTTTAAAATTTTTTTGTAGAGACAGAGTCTCACTATGCCCAAGCTGGTCTTGAACTCCTGGGCTCAAGCAATCCTCCCACCTCGGCCTCCCAGAGTGCTGGGATTACAGATGGAAGCTGCTGTGCCTGGCCCATTTGCCTTTCAATTCTGGCTTTATTATTTCTTACTGTGAAAAATATTTTAAAGAATATTCTTATCTAGAATTTTAAATTTTAAGTGGAAGAGGATTGGTCTGAATAACTTAAGCTCACTATTTGAAAAAAGGAAAACTTAGTCCGTTTTCTTCAGTAACCTCTGTGTGTATTCAGAACTAGCACTTACTGAGGTCATTTCAGGCTGATGAAATATTTATTCAAACGTTTCTTGTTTAAAACAAGTAATAATTCAGTGTCCCATAATATGAGAAAATTTGAAACTCAATTTTTCTTCAGGGCTCATCTAAAAACCCTCACGTTAAATCTGGATTTATTTGGTATCCATTGAAATGTGACAGAGGAAAAATGGTTCTAATATGAAATAATAAGAAAAAATCTATCTTTAATATCTGAAATGGAGCCTTTGCTGATATTAGCATCCGAAGCTAGTGGCTAGCAGCTAGGATTTAATATTATTGGGAGCTGTTTCTCCTGAACTGTATCAAAGAAGATCACTACTGGCATTTTGAATGTAAATAAGAGAGAGATGAAGGCCTTGGTTACCAAAATAAGGGGAGTATATGAATGGCTAATCTAGGGAAAAGGTACATTGTGGGGAGATTACTTTTTTAATGTCAATTTTACAACTCTATCGACATAAACAGCAATATGTGGATAACAGTAAACCAATCACATGATTGGAGAACTCTTCGAATGTCTTGTGAGATGGTGATTCATGGGCCTGGAATTCAGCTCAGCAGAGAACATAGTAAAGATCTCCTTCAGAACAAAAGTCATGAAGGAGAGGGATCAAAGAGTCCTGATGTAATTCTTTTTTTACAGATGATCAGGCTGCCAGGTACTTTGCTCAGCCTCCTACTGATACCTTTGGATATTCTTAGATGGTGAATGAATCCATTTAGTACCTCTTCCTTTGCATTCATGTCAACCAAACACGGGGACATGGTTACCTCCAGAAAGGAAGAAAATGAGCTAAAAGGTCCCTGTACTTGACAGAGAAGCAGAGGAAATCTGCCCCAAGCAGCCTTAAATAATGTGCATGTGCCCTCAGTCACAGTGTGAAGGGCCTGGGGGTATCTGAGCACACTGGGAACTGAACCCCCACTTTTCATACAGAGAGCCCCAAAGGCCTGCCTCTGTCAGCCCCTCTCCCTGCCCCACAACAAAGCAAGTGCCCTCCCCAGAGCAGGGGAAGCAGGGCCTTACCTGTGCTGTCCTCCCCAAGGCCTTCTGCAGTCTCCCGAAGCTTAATGTCCATCACCCTTGTGGAAATCATGTCGAGCTCGCTGAAATTAGATGGAAATTCACGTTACAGAAACGTGGTTAGCAGAAGTTACCCATGAGTGAAACGGTGTTCGTGACTGCATTTGCAGTGGTCTGGCCTGCACACACCCCAGCAAAGACAGTCCAGGGCAGAGTGCAGCACAGTACAGGCCAAAACCACGTCCACAGCCACAAGATCAGCAACCGCAACAGTGTTTAATCACTGACTGGGGCAATTTAATGGAAAACAGATCACTGAAACTAATGCCTCACTAATTTACACAATGCAGATTAGGTTTCTTTCAAAACAGTTTTTCTCAAATTATAAGAAATGATTTTTTTTTCTCTTGTTTACTACAGGAAGTTTGGAAAATAGAATGAAAATCACCCATAACCCAACCAAGCAAGGATCACTACAGTTAATATTTTCATTTCCTTCCAATAATTTTTACGCAAATATTTTGTCCATGTGCACACATATCATATTAGGAAGCTTGACTTCCTGATTGTCTTACTTATACCACATCATTAAAATTCTTCACGCGTTATTTTAATGGCTACCTAATATTTTGATATACTACTGTACCATCATTTATTTACATTGAGATTCTTTTTTTTCGAATGCAATGAAAAATTTCAAACAGATACAAAAATGTGAAGAACATACAATGAACTCAAGATATGACTAATCTTGCTTCATTTTTACCCCCACACCCCATCCCACTCCTAGGAGGTGATTTCTAAGCAAATCATCCCAGACACGATGATCATTTCATCCCTATAAATTTAGCTGCTTCCTGAATTAAAAAATCCCTCACTCTTCATGGAAATCAAATACGTGATTATTGGTCAATATTCCTGCTACAGAATACTGAACTAATGGTGTCCATGCCTTCCATAGCTGACTCTTACAGCAGGCTCTGCCTCCAAGGAGGCGAAGGTTGCCCGCCGACCAAGGGACAACAAATGGATCTCATGTCGCATGGAAGGTTTCAGAACTTACTCATGTTTTACATCCCAAGCATCTTCATACTGATAAGAGCATAACATGGGGTGGAGGAAAGGGGCAAAGACTTGGATGTTAATCAGTTCTGGGGTGGCATCTTTACCCTACCACCTACCAGTGCCAGGCCTCAGTATCCTCATAGGCAAAAGGAAGATGATAATACTATGATGAAATGAGACCAGGACACGGCATGCAGCAGGCACAAGCTGAGCCCTGCTGTCAGTTCCCGCAGCCCACTCCTCACCGCCGCGTGCTACTGTTTATGCACAAAGGCTTCCAGAGCACACATGCCCGGCACGGCCTGGCAGCAGGTAAGCGCCGGTCGTCCAAGCAAATGGCTCCCTTCAAAGTCGCCATTGTCAGTCACGGGACGAACACCCGGCTTCCCAGCTGACCCCTGTGCTTCCAGATCCCCACCGCCCGATGGGCTCAAACCACTGCCAGGTGACTGATGAAAACATGTTCAGGGTTGCAGAGGAATGTCTGCCCAGAGACCGCAGGCCACACAGGTGGAGAACCGTTTCCTTCATGTGACATGCCAGGTGGAAACACCTCAGAGCTGTGACAACGGAACATCAGCTCTGTTGGGCCAAGTAACTTGTCTTTCTGAACACGTGTTCCCCAAACCGCAGTAAAGTCCAAGGAAACGCCAGATGTAAAACCGTACTTAGAAAGGCAGTGTGGCAAATGCCCATCCCTCCCAGACCTCCTTTTGCTCCTCACACGAAGACAGTGCTGCTCACTGGAACTCCAAGGTCAAGTCAGGCCACCTCAGTGTCCCCTCAACCAGCACCTGCTCTCCACCCTTCTACTCTTGGAGTTCTGAGAGCTCTAAATCCAAGTCAAAGAAAACTTACTCTTTCAACGAAATCCGGACGGGCACGGCCTCTTCATGGGTTCTAATGAACTCACTAGAGTGCTGAGCCTCCAGCCCCCGCTGCAGGGCACAGCACCTTGTCAGTGTGTATCTGGGCACTCACAGAATCCAGGGGAGTCCTGCCTCTCAAAAAGACCCCTGAATGTGGAGGCTGCCCCACTCCCTCTCCCTCCACCCTAACTGACCACCGGCTCCTTCCCAGCTTAGAGCAGAGTTCCATCGTTAGTCTCAGCTTCTACTGAAATATTTCTACAGAAGTTAATTCACATAAAGAATGAGAACAGATTTTAATATGGTATTTTAAAGATTTCAATCTATTATATTTACCTACACAATGCAAAGAAAAATATCTGTACCCTGACTCCATACATCTGAGCACAGAATTATGGATGAAAGCTTTAGTGTTCACCCCACAGATTCCCTAATCCCACACCACCCTCCAGGCTGTTTGGACCCCTGTGGATCCTTTCTTGCCTCCCGGGACCGTTCTTTCACACTGGTCACCAAGGTTGTCATCAATAACTTGTTTGGGAGGTGTGTCTGCTTAACATCTCTTCCTCCCATAGCTGTGGGTTTTGAGGGGTGAGTGCTATGCCTATTATATTCACTACTCCTTTACCAGTACCCAGGACAGTGCCCGATCAAAGAACTGAACAGAGCACACAAAACAAGAGAACTGACAAACTAGAGGGGCTTCTGGGTATTAGAACCCTTTGAGATCTTGGAATAGCAATTCATTTAACTTCAGAGAGCTGTAGAAAGACCCAGAAAGAGTGACTCTTGGTTCACCTTTCCCTTGTCAGTTTGAGGAGGTGATTTAATCTACCTGTGGTCAGCATTAGGGAAAACATCCACCTTTATTCAGTCTTTTCACCTCCCTTTCCAACTGTGCTCTCCCTCACTTTCTTCCCATGGCAGGGTTCTGCCATCTACCCGTGTCACCTTCTTGCAGGTCAGTATCAGCAGTGATGTCCTCTCAGAGGTAACTATTTTAAGTAGAAAACTCCAATGAAAGGAAGTAACTGCAAACAAAGATTCTAAACTCCAGAAAAACATCCTCCGAATTTAAAGGTAGGTTAGACTTCCAAATGGTAGAGTAGCCTACACCACAATAAAACTTTCCACTGATGATAAGTATAAACCGTGGTGAAAAGATTAAAAACAATCACTTGAAGGCAGTTATGAGCAACCAAAAGCAGAAATTAAAGTGGAATCAACTTTTTTTCTTTTTTATTATTTTCTAATTTTTTATTTTTGGAATCAACACTTAAGAAGGGAACTGCAGCAGGAGTGATTTATGTGTGTAGGGCTTTTGGCCTGGAAAAGGTCTCAGGTATGTTTATTGTGGAGTGGCTGGAGCTCAAATAGAAAGCCATAATCTTACTGGCTTGATGAATCCAAGAATGCGATTTAGGACTGCCAGAGCAGATGGAAACTGAGGGAGAATATCTTAGGAAGGAAAAAATTTCAGAGACAGGAGCACCAAAATCCACATGTAAACCCCTTCCTAATTATTGGCTCCCCTCCCCTGAATTCTGCACATACTGGGGAGACTCCAAGGAACCAGGCAGAAGATAACAGCTGGGAGGCTGAGGGAAATGAACTAAAATTTTTCTACTGCTCACTGCAGGAGAGACAGAGTTCACAGGTAACAAATAGCCTGCCAGAATAAAATCAGTAATCTTCAGGACAGCATAACAGATTCCAGAGTTCCTATGAAATATCATTTACAATGTCTACCATATAATCAAAATTTATAAAACATGTAAAGAAATAGGAAAATATGACCCATAGTCATAAGAATAAAACACCTAAGAGAGAATAATCCTGAGTCACCAAAATTTTTAAATAGCAGACAAAGACTTTAAAGAAGCTACTTAAAACAAAAATATAGCCATAAGGAATAAAAAGATAAAGAATTTCAAATTAGAAACATATGATATAAAGAAGGAACAAATGGAAAACATTAAGATGAAAACTGTAATTTCTAAAATAAAATATTTATTAAATGGGCTTAACAGCACACTGAAGACATCAAAAGAAAGGATCAATCAAACTGAAGAAAGATCAATAGAAATGATCCAATCTGAAGAACAGAGAGAAAAAAGACTGGGAAAAAAATTGAATATGAACACAGCCTCAGTGACCAGTGGTACAGTATTTATTTGTCTATCATATATTTAATTGAGCCCCAGAAGCAGGGAGTGGGGGGAGTGAGGAAGCAGGAGAGAGAAAGAGGGAAAAGGAGAGAGAAGAGAGAAGTAGAGAGGAGGGGTGGGGGGTGGAGAGAGAGAGAGAGAGAGAGGGAGGAAGGGAGACAGGGAGAGGAGGGGAGGGGAGGGGAGGGGAGGGGAGGGAAAGGAAGGGAAGGGAAGCAGGAAAAAATATTTGGAGAACTTATGAATAAAAATTTCTCCAAAATAGTGGAAAAGATAATGTTACAGATCCGAGAATCTTAGCAAACGCCAAGAAAACCACAACAAGGCACATCATAGACCTCAAAGAAGTGTGGAACACAGCATAGTGTACTAAAACCAAAGAGGAAGAGGAAATCTTGACAACAGCCAGAGAAAAATGACACATCATAAACAGGCAAACAGCAACACAAATGACCAACAATGATAAGAAAATGCAACAGAATAGCCTCTTTAAAGTGCTGATAGAAAACAAAGAACAACCCGATATTCTATATCCAGAAAAATTATCCTTCGATAATGACGGCAAAATATAGACATTTTTAGATAAGTGAAAAGTGCAAGAATCTGTTTCCAGCAGATATGTACTACAGGAAATGCAAAACAAAACTTTTTTAGGATGAACAAAATGATACCAGATTGAAACTGAAAGCTATAGAAAGAATGAAGCACAACGAATGTGGTAAATATGTGGGTAAATATTAAAAAGTACATGTTTTTCTTCTCTAAATTTATTTAAATGCATATAACAACTATAAAAAACTATTATGAATTTACAATGTATGTAGATGTAATATGTGACTATAACATAAAGGTAGGAGTTATACATATGACTAGACTATCACAAGGTTCTAGTGTTTTATGTGAAGTGGTACAAGATTAACGCTAAACAGACAGTGACAACTTCAGAATTAATACTGTGATCCCTAGAGCAAACACTAAAAA